GCAGGAATTTATTCCACAGCTAGCTTAGGAGAGAACAGAGGGATCTGTGGTATATTCTTCAAAAAGAAAAAAAAAATCCTATAGTGTAAGCCAATAAGCCAAACAATATTTATAAGCTAAAGGAAGGGGAGCTTTGTTGGACTGTCTTAATCTTAAGACATGATGATTCTAAATTCCTTTCTGAATGTGAACTTTGTAGCTTTACTTTGTGCTACCCCAGGACTTAGCTTGCTTGTCCTTCTCCTTTACCCCCTTATTTACCATGTCTTGGCATGCATCAAACATTACAGGACTTCTTAGAGCCTGTTTTGAGGTAGTGATTGCATGGCTTTTACATGGTTGACTTCCTAAACTTATGAATCCCAGTCCTTATGGATCTGTAAACATCATGTGTTATTTAAATGCCAGTTGTTTTTTAAATTGACGGGAAGTGGCAAGGTGTGAATAAGAATATGGGTAGAGCTTAACTTCCTAGATAAGCTAAGTATATGCTGTTAGTGTACTGTGATCTGGATGATTTTTTTAATTGGAACACAGTTGTTAACATAGCCCCGCCAACGTTTTGTACTGAAATTCAGCAAAAGAGAAGTTACATCACAATACTGTTTACCAGTAAAGTTGTTGCAGGTAAAGAGTTAGACCTTCAGTTAGTCGTATTGGAATTTTACTTTATAAACTATTGTACAGTGTTGGTAGTCCACATAGCTAAAGCTGGACTTTGTTTAGAAGTGCAACTTGTTGCTGTTCTGAAAATCATACATAAAAGTAAAGCTATATTTTTCCTGATGTCCAACACGCTTCAGAAGCCATAGCCATATTTCAGGGTCAGTAACAGCAGTTGCAGTTTTTTTCATTGTGTTACTTGCTGCTACTTCATGCTACTTTGAAGCCAGAACCTTCAATGGTGTGAGAACCAGGTTCTGACCTCTGAGACCACAGAATGCACGGTGTTTTGACTTTAAACACCTGAAGTTTAAGCACGGTTGTGTTGCTCTGACTTTCAGCAGAGTGTATTAGGAGAAGAATTGAATATTGTATTGATAGGAGAGGAGAATTCTGAGGTCGTCTTGTTGTTTGGCTGGTAGTATGAAACTGATAATATAGAACATCAAATGCAGAATAAGATTTCCTTCTGACAATCTCCTCTTCTGTTCTTAGAAGCGAGGTGATATCTGGAAGATATATGTCAAGCTGTCTATTCTGTGAACTTTCCTAGAGATTTGGGGCAGGAGTGAGGGAACTGCAGGGGCTCAGTAGAGAAGTATGAATTGGTGCTGCAGCTGAAATTCTTCTGATTGTTTTTCTGTGGAGATGCAGGACTTGAGGTATGATGCTAAATTTAGCCACTACCTAAAATACTAACATTACTTGCACATATGAACAAGAAGTCACTTACCACGTAGCTTGTCAATATTTGGGTTCCAGTGACTTCTCATCATTACTGAAGTGCAGCAAATGAGTTTATCCTCAGTTGCACAACCCAAGGTGAAGAAACAAAGCTGATTAGGCACTCACTAAATTAAATTTTGTTTACGCCTTAAGAGATGTCTCAATCCACTAGTACGAGTGGCATTAGAATACAACTTCCTGTGTCCTGATTTGGTTGACTGTCTTCAGACTTTTTTGTCATGTAGAATTGGCAGGTGCTATTTATAAAACAGAATGGACAGTTTCATAATTGGGTTTTAAGTTATGGATGGTCTGTACTCACTTGCTAGTAGCTATGATGCTGACTTATTTCTATGCATCTGGTTTCTCAGTGTGCAAAACTTCAATATGTGTAGAAGCAGGTAAAGTAACTTAGCCAGATAACTAGGATCCCAACTGGGGGAAGGAGAAGCAAAATGAGCAAATGTGAGCATTTTTTTTACAAGCTCTAATGTTTTGGGTTTTTTTAAATCGCATGAGTTACCTAGTGCACTTGGGTACTCACTACACTTGAGATGCAGTGTGGAAGGAAGGGCCAAGGTTATCTTACAGTCTTAAATGCATAGATGAGGGAAAGGAAATCAAGCAACTTAATTTTCATTTTCCTTGGGCAATTACTTAAATATTTGGATGGAACATTCTTCAGCAGATTTGAAGGCGTTGGATTTTTTTCAAGCTGCTCTTGGTGTGTTAGCTCTAAAATTTTGCTTATTAGATTATGTTTACATTGAAGGGTGAAGATGTCAACCGGACACTTGAAGGTGGGAGGAAGCCTCTTCACTATGCAGCAGACTGTGGACAGCTTGAGATTCTGGAATTTCTGCTATTGAAAGGAGCTGATATTAATGTATGTACATCAATTTGCAAACAGATGTTAGGGTCTTAGGGTCTTCTCCTCCCCCCATCCCCCCAACACACACACATAAAGAATTGGTATAAGTGCCTAAATGGTTACTGAAAGACTTAGATCAAACTAAACAATTTGATGCATTTAAAAATATTTTAGAGGTGGTCTCCTAGAGGTTAGAAGCTTAAAATTATGTTTATTAAATGTTTCTATTCTTTTTGGACACACTAGGAAAAGTTGTTTGTAGCTATAAAAAAGTTTATTTAGTTTGACCATGATTAGAAAAATAAATCCAGTAATCACATCTAAAGAAAGTTTGCATGAAATGCATATTACATCTGTTGGAAGGGACTTCAGAAGACAGTGCAATGCATCCTTGGCCAGGGCAGGATCGACTGTTTAAATCGGTGTGCTTCTCTCTTTTTGGGAGACATTCTTGTACAAACTTAGTCATTTTGTTGTAGCTTGAAATGCGTGGCTTTTTGTCGTGAAAAGACTTGGCTGGGCTGTATTGGCACTTCAAAATAGTGTAGTTCTCCATAAAGTGAAGTTTCTAAATACTTTAACCATACACCCCAAATGCTGTGCTTTGGAATACTTGTCTTGAAAGTTAAGGTACAACACAGCTTTAGTCCTTAACAAAATGGCTTGGATTTTTTCCTTGGTGTCTGGAAAGATTATCTCTTCCTCAGGAGTTCTAGCTGGAGAGGAAGAAAAAATGGAGGAAAAAATAAGAACATTTCAGTTGCTCCATTTCTTATTTTTTCCAGGACTATAGTTTAGAGAGGAGAAGACAGCCCAAACAATGTTTCAGCCAAAACTGGTTTCTGAAGTCAGGCTGGCTGAGAAATGTGAGAGTTAGGAGTACTGTTTTTAAATTGGGCAAAATTTGTCAGCTGCAGCCCTGCAATTTCTGTCATTGGCCTAAAAAAAAATAGATAAACATTGGGATACCTGGAAGTCTTATGGAAGAAATATCTTGCTGTTACCTCACTGTTTTTTAAACAATGACTCTTCTTTTTAAAAAGGAGAGTAAAAAAACTTCTGAGGGAATGCATTTCTGGATAATATTCTTAAATCCTTACCTTCACGCTACTGTTAACAAAACAAAATTAAAAAGTTAAGTGAAACCTTTTAATGCTGTGTGAAATTGTGCTTCAAGTAACTGTGTCTCAATTTACAGGCTCCAGACAAACATAATATCACACCACTCCTATCAGCAGTCTATGAGGGCCATGTTTCCTGTGTGAAATTGCTTCTGTCAAAGGTGAGATACCATGTTTAGAACAAGTTATCCATTAGCAAAGTGTATTACTATGATTTTTCTTAAGATTATGATGCTCCAGGTAAGTTCAGAACATCAAACAAATGCTGTTTGTTGCTAAACCAGAGAGGGTACTCTGATTATGAAGATAGTTGAAGGAGAAAGTTCCAGGACTTTTGCAGTGTAGCAAAAGTAATAGTGACCACTAAGAGTATTGTGAGCTCCAGCTAGAGAGCAATTAACAGCAAATCAGGCAAGAAAAACAATGCATTCCTTCAGCAGACGTGAGGAGAGTGGGATTTAGCTTTGGCAGCCGCTGAAGTGTTTCATGTGATGGAGTCTCCACTGTGAAGTTGCTCAGAGGTGCGGCTTCCCTCTGCTTTTGCCAGATGACTGAAAACCCATCTGGGCTGGCAGAGTGAGGGGAAGTAAAAGTAGGAAGACAAGCTTTATCTGTTACAGAGCTTGTAAATTTTGTCCTGGGGAGAATAAGCTTAATCTGTTTCTGTTCTCCCTTTGATTCATATTACAAAGGTGATCCATTTTACAAAGCAGTAGTTAATTCAAGCATTCATATGTGCCCGTTTTTGTTACACCTCACTTACTTTGAAAAAAGGAGGTTAACAGTGCATTTCCAGTATATGAACCCACTTAAATCATTTGGCCAAAGGATTCCATGCCGTGTAATGTTTTCATATGCCACTTCCAAGGTAAAATGGTTTTCCTTAACTGCCTTAATGCTGCATGAATTTCACTTTTTTTCACTTCTCTGATCCTGCCTAATGTTAGTTATGCCTATCTGTGAAGAAATGCTGTGACTGTTAATTTAGGATTCAAATGGTGCATCTGACTTGCTTAAATTTGTTGTGAGGACCGATCCTTCATTTAGGATCATTATATACCCATTACAAAAAAAGGTATCCTTTATCCCATGTTGTATTTCTTTCCATTTTTGTTTTGAAGTGTTTTGCATTCTAAATAAGTTCTCAAATAATAAATAAGATGCCTCAAAACTTGAGTTGACACATGAATTGTCTGGCAATAGACAATTGGGTTGTGCATTCATTGTAGTCTGTCTTGAGAAAATGTATTGATCTCTATACTTAGTACAGTTTGAATGGAATTGGTTAAGTTCAACAGCCATAAAGATGAGGCAATCTTACAAAGATGTGCAGAATGTTACAAGAACTTGGACTAGGGGATGAGGTTAGAAAAATGTTACTGCATCTGGGTAGTTTGGGAAAGCTTATATTTTCAGATTTCTTCATGCAGAGCTAAATGTTGTACCACATCTGCTTCTATTCACATGGCCTAGCTGATGAAATATTTATGAACTGGAACTTTGCTCATCAGCTCATTCTGTTTGAGGCAGATCTTCTATTAAGAGGTTGTTCTTTCTCTTAATACAGTTATAACCCTTGTTTGAACATCTGTTGTCACATCTTCTTTGTAATGTAGTCTGATTTCATATGTTCTCTGATAGCAGATACCTGGGAGACCGGGTAGTTCAACCCTTATTGAAAGTTCTAAAAATTACTGACTGTTTTACTTTGACTGTTTAATGTTCTTCCTAGTTACTTTTGGAGTGGGGTGTATTTATTGTTACTCCAAATGCAGGACAAATATTGAATGTCTGATACTAGTGTATGTAAATAGTGGAACTGCAAATGCAAATGATGGACCAATATATTTAAGATTTTTCTTCAAAGCTGTTCTTTGTTGCTTTTGTAAATACTACACTTCTACTTACTGCTAAGAAGCTTCATTATTTTGCATGTATCTACTTTCAGCTGCCTTCATTTACCCTGTTAGTTGATCTCTTGCATATGTGGCCTCTGTCATAGAATATTCCTTAAGCTGTTGGACTAGAAGTCAATAACCTCCTTAATGTATTTTTTTAACAGGAAAACAAAAATTATTTTTTTGTACTTTCACAAGTTTTGAGAACCGATGAACAGTGATGCATGTCTCCTTAGTCTGCTTGCATACCACAAATATAAAAAAGTTAGCAGTTTGATCAAGTTAAAATTATATAAGGAATAAGATTGTTCCTCTTCACCTGCTAAGATTAGATTTAATATAAATAATTCTGTTGGATGCAGCTGTTGATTTGGAAATTGAATTGTTTTAAGCTGACATTCTGTACTGCCTTCTACAGTATATGAATCGTGGGGATGTTTGTAAACCTTTTATTGTGAGACTTTTGAGCCCTTGAGAGGAGGAGGGGTGTTCAAAAAAAATGTTTCACACGTTAATTGGACATAAAATACAAAAAAATATACCTTAATAAAAGTACCAAATATGAAGAATCCAGGATTTTTGTAAACTTTCTGATACTGTAGAAGATTCATTCATCTGATGAAAGTAAGCTGGTTACTCTTTCATGTAGTGTGACCACAGAGCCATTCTTTAAACAATCTTCCACTGAAAGCAGTAAAAGCATTAAAAGTATTTGGGCATAATTCACTTTCAGAGGATAATAAATACATGTAAATAGTAGAGACACTGAATCAAGATTCTAAGTTCTTAAACTGACTAGAATGATTAGAGTGGCCCCTTGGTCTTAAGCTGAAGTAGCCTGGGCTGCTGCAAACCTGTGCTTTCTGTTGTTGATACTGGTGATCATGCAGTTGCACAGTGAAACACAGCCAAGCTTCTTCTAAGCTCATATTAGAAAGAGTTTATACTCCTAAGAGCTTAACTTGAAAAGTACTGGGGGACCTATGCTGGCTCTTATTAGTTCAGTCTCTACAAAAGTTTTTAATGTACATGTCACGTGACTAATACAATTTTCTGTAGATGATACTAATAGTTTCAAGTCGTTACACCAACTGTTGTCCCTTAAAGCAGCAATTTGTTTTATGCAATTTCACATAACTTTCAACAAGGCTTTCCTGTGATAAAGCACAGTTTGTTACTCTTGTTATTCCTCAGAAAGGACTGTTTTGGGGTTCTTAGCTAATGCTTATCATACATGGAAGTTGAACGTTGTGATGACACTGTGTCTAAAATACAAATGACTTTTTGGAATAGTGAAGGCTGGTGGTTTATCTGGGAATCACTGGCAGCCCGTATACAGCTGAACTGATAGAATTGTAGAATCACTTAGGTTAGAAAAGACCCTTAAGATCCAGTGCAACCGTAAACCTAACACTATCAAGTCCAGCACTAAACCATGTCCCTAAGCGCCACAGCTACATGTCTTTTAAATACCTCCAGGGATGGTGACTCAACCACTTCCCTGGGCAGCCTGTTCCAGTGCTTGACAACCCTTTCGGTGAAGAAATTTTTCCTCATGTCCAATCTAAACCTCCCCTGGTGCAACTTGAGGCCATTGCCTCTCATCCTATCGCTTGTTACTTGGGAGAAGAGACCGACACCCACCTTGCTACAACCTCCTTTCAGGTAGTTGTAGAGTGCAATAAGGTCTCCCCTGAGCCTCCTTTTCTCCAAGCTAAACAACCCCAGTTCCCTCAGCCGCTCCTCATAAGACTTGTGCTCTAGACCATTCACCAGCTTCATTGCTGCTCTTTGGACATGCTCCAGCACCTGTGATGGCTTTACACAGATCTGCATTTGAAATGTGGTGGAATATTTAAGGTCATAAAAAGAAAGAGTTGAGGATTAGGATTTTTTAGGCATGTAGTTATGACAACTGGGCTACAAAGCTTTTAATAATCCATTGAAATCTGGCTGATCCATTGGGTGTGATGTGTCAGGCTTTGTCCTTCATATACATTGCTCTTTTACTGGAAAGTTGGGGGAAAATTTTCAAGGTTAGCATAGGGTGCTAGGATGACTTGAAATAGTTCTAATTCTGTTCCTTATCACCCTTTTCAGCATAAGAGTTCAGAATGGACACTGTAAAGACAAGTTAAAAGATAGTTCTTTCATTAGTCTGGAGAGAAGATGCTTCTTTTCTCAGAAGCTCAGTTATTAATTATAAAGCTGATGGACCAATTTAGTTTTTTCTTATATTAAAGCAAGAATTGTTATGCTAATTATATTCATTTATTGGACACACAGGTAACACTAACTGTATTTTCCTTTCTTATGGAAAACTTAACTGTTACACTACATTTGGAGTGACTACAGGAACAAAACTAAAGCTGTTGCTCTTAGTCCTAAACTACTAGCTCTTTGTCATTTTGATATCTTTTGAGAAGTGGTAGAAAGCCAATTCTAACTTCCAAGTAGTGCTCCCAGCCATTCTTGCTATTGCACCAACCAGATAACCAGTTCTCATTCACTGGAGTTAGCAATGTGTCAGAAGCAAATGGTTTCACAGCTTCTCAGGAAGCAGGCTTCCTCTGGGAACTGTGCACATGTGAAGTTTTACGTGAAGACAGTGGAGGGAGAGAGATGTTTCAAATTTTCAAGAGCTCCCTGAAGCAGCAATCTGGTTTGACAGTACCATAGCAGGGTGATACCTTGGACAAGCCCTCTGTCTCAAAAGCAGAACTTTCTACTTTTATTCTGCAGTATTTGTAGGAATATGTTGAGGAAAAGTATAGATAAATCAGGTTGGACTACATCTAACATGCAGATTAAATCATTTTTAAAAAGTCTAGAAGGGACCCCAAGAGGTTATCTTCAAGTCATTTTTAAGAATGCCGCTGTTGTAGTTGTCTGACTTGTTCTCGAAGACCTTCCATCAGTCTGCCATTCCTTAATATATTCAACTTTCCATTATGCTGGAGTTCAAGTCACTGGAATAGAACTGTACATTGTTTGCCATGTCGTAGTATCACCGCCATTATGGAAGCTGTGGCTAGGTTTGGTCAGCTTCTGAATAAAATTACTGTTCGAGGGAGAGTTGTGTTGCATTGCATACCCTGTATCTGAATCTCGTGGCTCTCAGGGGCTTGGATTTATATAAAATAAACTCCTTTCTGAAAATCCAAAGGATCTTAGTAGCAACCTTAACTCTTAACTTGAATAACTTTGTTTTGGGCATTCATAACTGTAGGGAGATATAATTTAATATACTGCTTTCTGAAGAA